CACAAGCTGCTCTTCATATTAATGACAAATTTTGGCATTTTTTGATGGGTTACCTTCATTTTTTCCTTCTACTTTTAATTTAAAATAGATTTTCATTCTCGGCCGGTTTCTAAGGTTCTTCTTCTACGTATTAAAAAAAGTTGTTAAACAACTGAGTGGCGCACTACCGCTACTAGTGGAGAGAAATTATTGCACCTTATTCAAAATCAATGCTGTCCCACGGCCCTCTGCGGCCCAAAGTTAAAAACTGTTGTTCTTTTGAGGTCCTCAAGGTGGCGCTCACGGCCCACAATTGGGTCGCGGTCCATAGGTTAAGAATCTCTGATTTAAAGGATATTTTAATCAAGCACTTCCTGTTTTAAATCTTCAATTAAAACACAATTGTTCCCTTAAGCTTTTTACTCAGTTTTTTTGTTTTTTATCGTCTTACAAGTAAATGTTTTTCTATTTATTTTATTTGATTTTGTTGCTTTTCATTCTTCTCTTTTTTTTTAAATTCAGGTGATTTTTTTATTTCATTTTTTGGTACACAACACTTTGGCCAATGTTGTTTCGAAAGTGCTTTATAAAAATTTGCATAGATTTTATTTTTGCATCATAAATCTTTAGGAAGTATTTGATCTTTTTTAGGTGATGTGTAAAATCACCCATTTATGTCTACATAGTAGGGTTGGGCGATATTGGCAAAAAATTATCTTGAAAAATTGTGGTATTTAGCTGATAACGGTTAATATAATGATTAATCCCCTCATATCCTRATCTTATGACCAATTTAAATCACTCTAATGGGAAAGATTTGCTCTCCGTAAAAATCAGTTCCAAACTGTGTCAAAAGTAKAGACTTCAGGCTGTACGTCAGTTTTTAAATTGTGTTGATATGCCAAATAAAACCGGCGTTATGATAAATAAATTACAGAACTTTTTTTTAAAATGTTCGTTATATTTGAATTGGAGGGGAGCACTGAGCGGACTGACCAGAGAAATCTCCAACAATAATTAGCCATATTAATTGTCAAGTGCCAAAAGATAATCAATTAAAGTTTTTCTGACAATTAATTGCACATGACAATTGCAATATGACAACAGCCCCAGTAGTTGGAGCTTCAGAGCAAATGGAATACAAAACAAACAGCCCACTTTTATTTTAATATATTTAGAGCTTTTTCCTCCTTTTATAGTCAATCTAAAGTACTTTCTGTGCCTGTAATCTAAGGTAAAATCTATTTAAATTACACAGCAACAAAATCGATTAAAATACCAACAGGATGAGTACTTTAGTAACACAATGTATACTGTARTGTCACACAACCTGTGGTCCAGGTAACATGTAATTGTTGTCAAYGTGCTGTTTGTGGTTTGTGTGTTTTAGTTACCCTGAGGTGGTGACGGGTGTTTTCTTCGTCCTGATGACTCTGCTGTGGTTCACCAGAGAGCCCGGCTTTGTGCCCGGCTGGACGTCTCTCTTTGAAAAGTAAGTATTATCGATGTTGCAACAAGCATCCAGGAGGGTTAGTGATTGTGGTGTTGCAGTCTGCGGTGAAATGAAACTAACATGAACCTGTCAGAGAACAAGAAATTATAATAAATCACCACCAAGGCAGCACTTCACTTTAAATGAGACGACATAAACAGTCAACAGARTTTGTGTCTTCTTGTTAAAGGAAAGGCTACAGAACTGATGCAACCGTGTCTGTCCTTCTGGGCTTCCTGCTCTTCCTCATTCCTGCCAGGCGGCCCTTCTCCTCCTCATCATCATCCAGCTGTCAAAACTCAGGTCAGTTCCAGTTACTCAGTTTGGCCTGAACAGAACAGAACTTTGTGGGGTCYCATCAGGACACCGAGTTCAACACAACAGACAAGAAGTACAAACCTGCTACAGTTTACATGTTGATGGTGAACATCAGGCTGACACATGTGGAGGATGTTCTTTATCGGATCAACATGAATTACATTAAAAATGAAATGTTACAAACTTTTGGTTTTAACCCTTCAGATGAAGATTCAGAGTCAGATCCACTCGCCCCCATGATCACTTGGAAAGACTTCCAGAGACTTATGCCATGGGAGATCGTCATCCTGGTTGGAGGTGGCTACGCACTCGCAGCTGGCTGCAAGGTGAGGATCAGGAAGTAGCTTTATTTCTGTAGCACTTTTCATACAAGACAAATGTAATTCAAAGTACTTTATGCTGTAGAGAAAAAATAGATATCCYATGTGAAAGCCAGACTCAGCAAATGGTTTTTAGTCTGTAGAACAACTAAAAGAGGAACCAGAGGATCTGTTGTCTCGTTCTGCTTCATAAACTAGAAACCTCTATTTGACATATTCTGCTGCTCAGCCATGAAGGGCCTTTAAAAACCAATAAAATCATTTAAAAGCAATTCTCATTAACAGAAACCCAGTGTAAAGACTTTAGAACAGGACTAATGTGAGCTCTCCCTTYAATCTTTATCATCAGCTGAAATAATAATAATGTGAACGCTTGTTGAGATGATCCATTTTTCTTCTGTACATTTTTCAGCAACTCGATCCACAACTTTTGTGCTATTTCAACAATACTTATATAAAAATGTTCAGGTCCTTTATGTCATGGGTGCTATAACTTCAGCAACTTCTACTTTTTCATCAATTTAGCCATTTGTGACATTTTTTTTCCTTATTGCAAATTAATGGAGTTTTCTTCAGCATCTTTAAAAACCTTTAAAATGTTTAGATCTTTACTGTACTTTTTACTTTTTCTTCTGGTTCTGCTTTGTTCAACTTATTTGTGATCATTTTAGCTTCCTTCAATTTCTTTTTTTTTCTTTGCTAATTTTAGCTTTTTCAGCTACCTTTCTGCTCAATTCACCTCTTCTTCTGGTAATTTAAATGTTTTTTATGCTTCTTTTAGTTGCTTTCTGCTAATTTCAGCAGCTTTCCTTCTGTTTTAGCCATTTTCAGCTAATTTTAGCTTTTTCTAGTACTTTTGAAGTATTGTTCTGTTAATTTTGGCTGCTTTAGCTATTTTACAACAAATTGCAACTTTTTTACCCATTTCCTTGTTTTCTGTCAATATGAGCTTTTTGACTCTCCATTCACCTTTTTGTCTGCTAATTTCAACTTCTTTCTGCTGTCCACTTTTGTTTTCCTTCTTTCAGCTGAAGAGGTAAAAACATTTGTAAAAGTTCTACTTTTGTACATTCTTTCAGCTGAAGTCAATTTTTCAGTTAAAAGTTTTGCTGTTAAACATGTTTCTTTCATACTGCATTTTTGCTGGAAATGCAAATTCTCTAGTTAGGCCGGTCTGATGATTAGACTGCAGAAAGGTCAGCTACATTCATGATGAAACATCAGTAGATCCAAGGACCACTTGAGCAGGAACTGAATTTTRGCTCATTCTCTGTAAAACTGAGTTATAGCCATTTCTGATGCTAAAGTTGATGAAATGTGAGTGAATCAGTCTCAGTAAAAGACTCTTTGAAGATGTTCCTTCGCGGTGTGTGTTTGTAGGTGTCGGGCTTGTCCGTGTGGATCGGCAGACAGCTGGAGCCGATGAGTGGTCTTCCTCCCTGGGCYGTCACCCTGCTGGCCTGCCTGCTGGTGTCAGCAGTGACAGAGTTCGCCTCCAACCCTGCAACTCTCACAGTCTTCCTGCCCATCTTATCAGCCCTGGTACGACTCACTGACTCTTTCAGTCCGTTAAAACTTGGATCTGAATACAGGTCGGAACAAATAATCTGTTGGGAGGTGAACAAATGTTGTAGATGGGTGGACAGGATCCTGGAAGAATGTGCTGATTTTCTTATAGAGAAGAGTATTTTTTTAATTGAGTGGGTATGGCTTATATTCACTCAATAGTCTGGAAATTATGGTATTTCTTCTTTCTTTCTCTTTTTATTATGAAAACAATTCTCTTTATATTCATGTTTTAACTTAACGTTACCTGTATGTTTTATTTTCTTAATTCAAATTTCATCTCCTCAACTTCTCTAAAATTTCCCACCTTTACCACCTCTTCTGGTTGGTTCTCTTTATTCTCCATCTTGGCTCCTTTTTACATCAATCAGTTACATCAATCTACCACCTGTTGCACATTTTTGTCTGTCTGATTTCGTTCTTTTTACCCCATTTTTTCTCTTTTTCCTCGCAGTCGGAGACGCTGCAGATCAACCCCCTCCACACTCTGATCCCCTCCACCATGTGCGTGTCGTTTGGGGTCATGCTTCCAGTGGGGAACCCCCCCAACGCCATCGTCTTCAGTTACGGCCACGTGCAGATCAGCGACATGGTACAAACACACACACATACAGCACCTGCAGCATCAAATGATTAAAGAGCACAAAACATCAGATTTGTTGTAAACAATCAAGTTTGTTTTGTTTCTTAACTTTTGGTGSTTTAAAAAACATTAATTCTACAGAGTCTTTTCATCTCGACGTGTTCATTTTCTGCCCTCTCCAGGTGAAAGCAGGGTTTGGCGTGAACCTGATCGGCGTGGCCGTGGTGATGGTAGCCATCACTACGTGGGGGGTTCCCCTCTTCGACCTGACTGAGTTTCCAGCCTGGGCGATGGCCCGGAACATCACCACACACTTATAACCACCGTTTGTGTCCGCGGGGCAGAGGGCGAGCTGAAGAACTGAAAGACACAAGTTTTTAATCATAAAGACAATAAAAGGTGCATCGAGTGGAAACTTCGTCAGGACTAGACTCAACGAGCCTTGATGAGACGGACCGTGGAGAGGAAGAGGAAACACTGGAAGAATTCTGTTGTTTTTTACAGAATATTTGGTGGCATTTCATACAAAGAATGTACAAAAGTAGAACTTTTRCAAATGTTTTTACCTCTAATGATACTTTTAGTTTACTGTTTATTGTACTGAGCTGGCGAGGGGACATGMGKGATTTTTTTCTTTTGCGTTACCTCGCAAACGTYGTTCATCACTGTTGTGCTGCCAGTTTATTAATAAATTCACATGCTCACCATTAGTGAGTTAGCACAGCCACACATGRAGATATTTACTATGCAGATGTTTTAACAATATCAAGCAATATTAATGTCAATTTCCCGAATTTGTGGCTTGTCCTTTTTTGGCAACTGGATGTTTCAAAATAAAAGTCTGATTTAATTCAGCTCATACAAAACAAACTTTTGTGTGGTACTGCAAAAGAAATCCCTCCATGTCCCCTCACAGGCTCCATATTATTCAGACCTCAAACTCATTTGTTACTAATTGAGCTGATAGAGACAATACGTTTTTTTAAATCCTACCTTCTCATTAGTAAATGTGCCAAAATGACAGTGTAGACCGATCTCAGCTACACTTCATCCAACTCCATTCACTGTTTGTCTTTAGCTGCTGCTAGAATTGGAAATTTGATCTTCCAAAGTAAAGCTTATTTAATGTGCTGCTGTGCAGTGAGGACTTCTTTAAACAAGTTAATTTGGTCTCATAAATCTCGGCGGAGGCCCCCTTTACAGTTTCTGTTCTCTGATCATTGGACCATCTGAAGTGACTTTCAGTAAAACACTTCGTAGAGAATTTCCTGAGTGGCCTCARTTTGTAGAAATCCTTCATTTATTTACATGAACATGATTATTTGGAGCAGAAAGAGTTTGACCTGGTTTGTTAATATATATATA